CCGTGGGAAGCTGAGGCTACCTGCTCTCGGACAGATTTATAGCCTTGGAAACTATAGAGGGTCGCTGTGGATCCCAACCAACTTGGTGGCAGTGGTTTGGGTTGGGTTTCCATTCCAATTTCTTATGAACAAGAACATAAAATGCCTATAGCATAAGCAAATGAGGAGAACTTACCTCAGAAATTTTTTTTTAGTACTGTTAATGGCATTTTATAGCTGTGCAGAAATGCTTATTAACAGAGAGCTATGATTCATTTTAAGATGAAACATAAAGCAAAAAGTAGTTTTACTTTAAAAGCTATTGAAAAAAAAATCCTCCCCCCCTTGAGTTGAGCTGCATGTGCGACAGGTGTGTGTGTTTTCTGGAGAGATGAGGGTGGACTGGTGACAGGTTCAAGAGAGGAAGTGAAACTTTTGACTGTACTTTTCAAAGCTGACTTTTCCGCTTTCAGAATTGACATCCCTATCCCTAGAGGGTGAGAAACCCTTTTTTTCTGCCTTGTGTTTCTCATTAGGTAATAAATCCAAAAATTTTTTGAAATAAGGTTTTCTTTGGTTATAGATCGTTAAAAATGGTTATTAATGACAAATAAACACATAAATTAGAACTAGCTTTTTAGTGCAAGGTTAAAATAATTCAGTTTTACTTTTAAATGTATGAAATTCTTATACTTGCCAGCCAGCCTTTCCTTATTTAGAATTGGAGGCTATTTGTTCTGAATCCCTGCTTTCATTTTGTTTATTTTCAAAATCAAACTGCGACTTGAAAAAGTAGTTATTTTGTTCTTTTTCTTTTTTTTCGAATAGTTTTATTAGGGGCTCATACATTTTGTTCTTTTTCAGCATGGATTCAGCATAGCATTTTCTTGGTTTTCGCTCTAGATGAAGATCTTCATCATAATTAGTCACTGGAATCTTTATTTAGAGAATTATACTTTATGCCTTCAGTACACAAATATCTAAAATGTTCTTGCTATACCGGATAGCGTAGATATTTACCTTCAGCGTTATGATTTGTCCTTTTAATTTCTTAGCCCTTTTGTTTCTTCTCTTTTGTGGAGTACCCATCTCTGTGTCCTGTTGCAAAGTCCCGATTCTCACCTTTAAGCACCTTTCAAGAGTCCAAACTATAATGCGTTGACCATTACCAATTGTGTAGGCGGTATAAATGCACATGTAGTGATTGTGTGACGTGCTAATTCAGAATAAGGGGGGACGTTAGATTAAAAGTGAAATTGACTGCTGAAACGTTTCATTCAAGTGGAAAAGGATTGAATCTAAATTTTGCCACTTCATCTTAGAGTGAGACTTACTGTGGGTCATTTCATTTATGTCACCTTTTTGTTGACATAAAACAGAAATGCCCACAGATTTTGCATCCATGGCCCAGTAAGTTTCCACAAAGTGAAGACACCCAGTTCAGGACATAGAAGAATTTCTGGACCCCAGAAGTTGCTTCTCACACCTGCCTTCCTTACCCGAGCTGAATTTAGTAAACCTCATTCAGTTGTACACTTCAAAATAGTTAGACAGCAAGTCCTTGCTCTAATATATGTGTGTGTGTATTATACACACACATATACACCTACATATTTATCTCAGTAAATTTTTTAATAAGAAAAGTAAAACAAGGAAAGAGATATGATTAGAGTTGAATTTGGGAACGGTTTACCTGAGTTTGTAGAAAGGTGGATTAGAATGGGGAGAGAGGGGAGATGGGTTATTGAGGAGGGGAGCAGGGAGGAGGGATGATAGGGGCAGGGGGAGATATATGGAGGAGTTGGAGGGTTTAATAGGATATTGTTGATTTCATTTGGGCTGTGTAAATATACACAGTAAGTTTTTTTAGAAACCCAAACCAAAACAGAAGAAAAACCCAATTCCTTATCCCTCAAACCTAACTAGTGGTCAGAGTGGCTTAAAAATATGGACTTGGCATCTCTAGTGATAAGCAAGTTCACCTCTCAAAAAGGGAGCGGGGAGTGGAGCAAATTCAGAAGGAAATTCTCTCTGGGCAAGAGATCGTGAATGAGGCTGGAAGGGGTAAGAGAGTGAAACAGGTCAAGAAAGGGTTGGATGCTCCTGACATTTACACGTCACCAGCAAGCACCTGGAAGGATGCTCGGCGTCATCAATGATGAAGGATGTACAGTCTGAAACTAGGCGGATCACTGCCTCCCAGGCTGAGTGACCCTGAGAAAAGTATCCTACTTCTCTGTGCCTCTGTTCCTTCATCTGTAAAATAAAGATAATTTACTATCTCAAAAGGCTGCTCGGAGGATTCCGTGAGTAAGAAGCACATGTAAGGCATTTACCAGTATGTATTTTCAAGAGTTTTCATCATCCCATAAACTCAGTTCTCCTTTCACAGCAACTTCCTGTTGCCCTCCTGCCATTCTTGGGAACCACGGATAAGCTTGTGTCTTTACTGTATTTATTTCATGTAAGGGGGATCATTAAATAATTTTCGCTTTACGTTTGACTTATTTCACTCAGCATGATGTTTTCAGAGTTGACCCATGTCATAACGTGTGATCAGCTTCATTTCTCTTCATAGCTGAGTATTTCATATTATATACACATCTGTTTTTTAAATCCATCTATAGATGGGCATTTAGAGTGTTCACTTTTTGGCAGTTGTTAATCGTGTTTCAGTGAAGACTGGTTTACAATTACCTGTTTGAATGTTTACTTTCAAGTCTCTTGGGTATATTCCTCAGGGTGGAATTTCTGGGTCATCTGATAGTTCTATGTTTAAAATTTTGAGAAACAGCCAAACTGCTGTTCACAGTTGTGACATCCTTTCATAGTCCCACCAGTGGTAGATGAGTGTTTTGGTTTCTCCACATTCTTAGCAACACTTGTTTTTCGGGTCAGAGCCATTCTAGTGAGTATGCAATGTTATCCTTCTTTTATTTTCCGTGACTCTAACTTAGAAGCCAGCAGACACAAACCAAACCCCCTGTCATCGATCCAATGTCGACTCAGCGGTTCTGCTCCAGGACAGAGTAAAATGGCCTCTCTGAGCTCCAGCGCTATTTCTTTATGGAAGCAGAACGCCTCACCTTCGCCCCTGGAGTGGCTGGTGGGTTTGAACCTACAAACTTGTGGTTAAGAGCCCAACTTGTAACTCACTACACTATTGGCGCTCCTTTAGAAACCAGCTTGGGGGGAGGGGATATTTCTGAAATTGCCTCTCGCCGTCTTGATCTACCTTCATAGACACTTGAAGTGCTCATTCTGAATAGGCTCTGCTTTTCTCAGGCTGTTAGCTAGTCTGCATGTGCACTTTACCCACTCTCTTTTCATGAAACCTTTCTCATTCCCAAAGGACAGACTCAAGATAGCCTTCCTGAGCTTGTCTCACCAGCTCTATGTGAACCTCCGATAGAATTTATTGACTTCCATTCTCTCACAACAAACTGAGCACCTAATTCCCAGCAGCCACATTTTGTGTGTGTGACTCATCTAAAGACAAACAAAATCCCCAGTAATGGGTGTTGTATTGATTTATGTGATGATTTGTTTATCAGGAACACAATAAAAGGCATCTGGTAATAATCTCTGTTAGATGAATTAATAACAGACTAGTCCCATGGCTGCAGCCACGGGCTCCCACAAAGTAACAATCGTGAGAGTGCTGTAGAACGGGGCAGTGTGTCGTTCTGTTGTGTGTGAGGTTGCTATGGGTTGGAACTGGCCTGGTGGCACATAACAACAGGAAGTCCCAAGGAGTTGGGGGGATTTATGTTGCCCAAATGTCCAACTCTTCCATGAAGCTATTGAGTTTTATTTCTTCCCTAATCCTCCCTTGAGTATATTCTGACATCCCGGGTCTGGTGAATTGCTGCAACGCCCCTCTTAAACTCTTCAAACCTTGAGGAATTGCCTTACGTGGTAGTGTGTACTGTTCAGTCCAGAACCCAAAGATCAGGCCAAAGCAAGCCAGATGCCAGGACCAGAGGACTTGCTCTATTCCCGGCTCATGTTGGTGGTGAGACCCATTTCTTCTCAGAGGGTTCATTTTTTACAAAGCAGGATGGTATTACAGGGACTCCCATTTACAATTACAGGTGAATCCTATCAGTATCTTCCTCCCCTCTTGCCAGATGCATTCAGGGAAAGATCATCTGGTGGGAGTTACATCTATATACATAAAATGCACTACATATACATTACATAGATCACTAGTGCAGTCAAATTAACATATAACTCTTCATCTTTTTGATGATACCCAAATATAATAATTATGGTCATCTCCACTCCTGGACTGTATCTTCTTTATGCACATATGACTTGGGGCTCTGGCAGGCTTCCCAGTAGGCAGGCTTTTCCCCAGGCTACCCCAGAAACAGCTCTTCTCCTCTCAGCCATAGCATATCATTCCTTATATCCATTATCAGTAACAATAACCAAGAAAAACATTAAATAAAGAATGTGGTCTGATTTACACCTCTCGTTCGGTTCCCGTTTGCTAGCCGATAATGCCCTACAAAACGGGACTATAGCAACAGGTGTACAAAGTCCACCATTGTAATATATCACATGAGAGAAGGGTCATCTTATGGACAGAAGGGTCATATTAATTGACTGTAACTCAGAGTATTTGGGCACATGGTTTATAAGCATCAGGAATGATTGTGAATTCCAAAGTCAAAGGGATAAAAGGGAATAAGGTATACCTGCTGACCTTTAACTTACCTTCTTTATGGGGCCCTGGTGCAGTGGTCAGGATCAAGGGCAGCATGCTAGAAGCTGGAACTGCTGTGTGTGCTTTGCACTGGAGGGAAAGGCACTTACTGTGGCTACACACAGGGAGCATTATGAGATTAATGGGAGGGAGAAAGAGTTCCTTTTTCCCATTTTAAAGGTGGCAAAATATGTTTTGATTTTTTACGTTGGAAGTTTTCCAACAGGTGAGATGCTGTCACCTGCTTTTAGGCACATTGGACTTTTGAGTTTTCAACTGTCATCTTTTCTCTCTTTTCTTTGCCCCAAAGAAAGCGGAAGCCCAGAATCTCGTGTTAATGCGATCCATTTCTTGGTACACAAGCTGCCAGAGAAAAATAAAGAAATGTTGGATATTTTGGTGAAGCACTTAACAAAGTAAGTTTCTTTTTTCTTCATTTGGTCTAAGTGATAATGCAATAGCTTTGGATTTGTGACGGTTGGTCCCGGGGCTGTTTACACATTACATTACCAAGCACTGAACCTGGAGAGGCAGGCTGGACATTTGACTCACCATGTGTGTTTTGGACAGAGTGTTGAAATGTGATACTTTTATGAATTTGTACAATCATTTGCTTAACATCATTGCCAGAAACCCAGGGTTTTTATATGAGGTAGAAGAGGAGAATATTATACATTTCCCCATATGTAGATTCTGGAAATGTGATTATAAGTTTGCTAGCAAATTTAGCATGGTTTCACACCTACCTGACTTTGAGTTTGAACATGTCCTTGATGCTTGTTTAATCCTCTAATAGGTAGTTATTTCAGGGGATCCTTTTCTCTGCCCTTCTCTCCCCACTCATTCAAAAAGCAAGCAAAATCTAATCATCCAGGGGAGAAGTTAGCCTTTCCTTAAATTATAAATGGTTCTTAAATCATGGTAATTATATAATGTTAGAGGACAGAGGCATCTTAGGAACCCGATATTTAAGAAACTTTATTTTACTTAAATAGGAAATAAAGGCTGGAAGCTCCCAAGACTTGCCCACATTCATGTTGCTTTCATTCATTGCAGCAACATGCTTTTAGTGAATGCTGTATTCAGGTGCTAGTGAGTACATAGCTGAACAAGATAGAAAAAGTCACACATCTCCTGAAGTTTTTATTCTAAGGGGGAAAGGATAGTAAACAATATTAGTTGAGTTCAGAAGGACCAACGTGCAAATGTAGACCACACAGTTGAGTAAAGGAATAGAGAATAAGTGTTGGGTGTGCAACGTAAAGTGGGTTATTATGAAAACTCTTGTTGAGCTTTGAGTTGAGACCTGAACTGAGCATGCAGGGCTCCGAGAAGCTGTCTTCTAAGTTGTTCACTGTACAGTGGTCCTGGGATGAAGTGGTAACGGCGTTTGCTTTGGCCAAGTTTGTTGAACTTGTGAAGCTAGTTTTTAGATAAAGATAGCATGCTGGCCCTAGAAGCAAGAGTACAATGACCTGGGGAAGGGAAGGAGTATACGGAGTTGAAGGCAAATAGGAAATGAAGGTCTCTAGGGGGAAGAAGCTTAGTGTGCTCATCTGGCTAATAAGGAAGCCCGGGTGGCTAACGTAGAGCTAGAGTAGAAGTACCAGAGGGAGAGAAGTAGGATTGTGGGCTGGGTCCTCATCAGGTAGCCTCATCAGGCCCTGCCATTTCAGAACCACACTGTAGGGACAATTAGAATCTTATATCAAGAACATTTAGTGTTGCAGAATGGTGTACATTCTCCCAAGTATCACCTGTCTTTTAATCAGAGATCATTCCCCCTCCCCCCCAATCAAAATTAGTGTTTCGAATCACTCCAAGCAAAACCTAATGACCGTGGCAAATTTAGGAGTGGTGTTTGGACCGACTCTTATGAGGCCGCAAGAAGAGACGGTTGCTGCCATCATGGACTTGAAGTTTCAGAACATTGTGGTGGAGATCTTGATTGAAAACCACGAAAAGGTAAGGTTTCCCTTGTTTTCGTTTGTTTCTAAGAGAAAGCATATGTTTGACTTGGCAGCCTGTGATGCACCCCAATTCCTTTAGATTTCCCTTCCCTTTGTAAAAAAGGTTTTGTTATCATGCTAATGAGCATGCTTCAGCTATGTTCTTCCGGGGCTTCTGTCTTCTGATGAGGCACCAGAGCCCAGAAGCGTTCTTGGTGCTTGGTGGACTCACTTGTTAAAGGAAGGGGCGGGCCGCTAATCAAGCTGCGAGTGCATATCATGAAGCATTTGGGAGATTTTTCTCCCTTCATGCTGGTTCTTGGAATCGTCATGCAGTTCTGTTTCTGTGGCACACGGGGGAAGTATGCGTGTGTCAATCCACGGAGGGTTTGGAAGCTTTGAAGAAAGGGACAGTGAGGAGAGTGAAGTTGAGAGGCAAGTGAGCTGGCCCCAGTGGAGCCTGAGCATCATTGAGGTGAGCATGGGGAGCAGCATTCCTGAGATCTGCTGTTCAAGGGCAGCTTCTGCTGGACAGCTACTTTTAGAGGTAGCTTTCCTCTCTGGTGAAATATCTTCCTCATTGGACTCACCTGGTGTGGAGGGCAGGTAGAGTGAGGACAGTCCGGGAAGGGTGAACTCCTCAGATAGTCTCAGGCAGTAGTACATCTGGGGAATGTGTCTGTGTGTGTTTAGGGCACATCGGGGGCACACTTTTCTGGGCCTTGGCTATGTGATTGAACTTGGTTTGAGTTGGGAGATTCTCTAGCAGGGGTGAAGGAGCCCTGGTAGACATATGTAGTGGGCTGTGCATAGGACTGTTAACCGCAAGGTCCGCGGTTGTAACCCACCAGTTGCTCCACGGGAGAAAGATGTTGCTGCCTGCTACCATCAAGATGCGCGCTCTCAGCGTCTCCAAGAGGCAGCTCTTCTCTGCCCTGTAGGGTGGCCGTGAGTCAGAATCGGCTGGATGTCAGGAGAGTGGACCCTGCTTGGTCACACTCTGCCCGTGCACTGCACCCAGCACTGCCTTGAGTTCTACAAGTAAACACAGTGGACCATCATCACGGTGTGATCTTTTTTCCAAAACGACTGCGGTATTCTCCGCTGTCCTGGGAGAACCATTCTGCTCCTTCTGCGCTCCGTGGTTACAAAAATGTTCACCAGCACGTGTGTCCTGTGTCCCCTCCCGCTCGACCCCCCAAGGTTTATTCGACATATCCTCCAATTGCCACAGAGGCTTCCTCATATAAAGATACTCTTGTTCTGTGCCATTGAGCCAGTGTAGGCTCACAGCAACCCCATGGGACAGAGTAGAAATGGTCCCATAACATGTCCTCGACTGTACTGTTTATGGGAGCAGACACCAGGTCTCTTTCACTTGGCCCAGGACCCACGGGTAGATTTGAACTGCTGACTTGCGCCACCAGGGCTCCTACATATTAAGGGTACTGAAACCAAACATATTGGTTTTGAGTTATGGTGACCCTCTGTAGAGTTGCTAAGGCTGTGGCTGGTTGCTGGAGAAGCCTCTTCTTTCTCACACAGAGGGGCTGGTTCAGCTCTCCAAACTTTTGGATACCCAGTTGATGCTGACTCATGGCGACCCTATAGGACAGGGGAGACGTGCTCCTGTGAGTTTCCAAGACTGTCTCTGTACAGGAGTAGAATGCCCGGTCTTTCTCCCTCAGAGGTGCTGGTGATTTTGAATTGCTGACCTTGCAGTTAGCAGCTCGTAATCACTACACTACCAGAGCTACTGGAGAGGCTGGTAGTGAAGGGGAAATTGTGATTAAGGCTCTGAACATACAAATGTGAATAACTGCCTTACAAATACTCCTGAGGAGCTTTTTTATTAACCTAACAACTGAGGAATATACGAGGTAGTATGAAGGAGACGACAATTGTATTTCTGGTATGAAGGAAATGGGAAGGGATAGGAGAGTGGATATTCGTAATGTACTTCTTTCATGAGATGCCCCGGAGGCATAGTGGTGATGCATTGGGCTGCTAGTTGCAAGGTCTGGAGTTCTAATCTACCAGCCGTTCTGTGGAAGAAAGATGGGGCTTTCTACTCCTGTAAAGACTTCCACTCTCAGAAACGCACAGCGGGCAGCTCTACGCTGTCGCATAGGGTGGCTGTGGAGTCAGAATCGGCTCTAGGGCAGCGAGCTCGGGTTTGGTTTTCTTGGAATGACAACCTGCCCGGCCTCGATTAGTGCCAGCTTAGATTAGTGCTTCTTGTTGGCCACGTATCCTAGCCCCTATGAAGAGAGAAATGTGAAAACACGTGGATAGGTAGCCACTTAAAAGATTTGCGTGTTTCTGATGGTTTTGCAGGCTTGAAAATAACTGATCTAGAATAGAGATCCACACACTTCTGTACATTTCCAGAGAGTAATTGTTCACTTTTCAGGGCATATAGAGCAGTCTCTGTAATAACGACACAGTCCTGCCACGGTAGGGTGAAAAGAGCCATGACCCATTGCTGCTGAGTTGATTCTGACTTAGAACGGTGTGCCATAGGGTTTTGGTGGCTGTGAACTTTTGGACACCTTTTGGTTAGTAACCCAGGACTTTGCCATCTCTGTTGCCCAGGGATTCTGAAGGCAGTCGGAGAAGTTGCATAATGAACAAGTATGCCTGTGCAGTCGCTGTGAGTTGGAGCTGACTCAGCTCCATGGTAGTGGTGGCGTTTCACTACAACCTCCTCCACCCTCATTCACTCCCCTCCCGAGATGAATGGTCACACTGCGTGGTCGAGCATGAACTCTGGGTCGATTCCTTGAAACATAATGTAACACAGCAGTCACAAACTCAGGCTCCATCATCAGGCCACCTAGACAAAATCCTACCTCCATAACCACTTACGAGGCTGTAGCTGTAACCTCACTCAGAGCTCTGATGTGTCCAGTTAATTAGATAATAAAGGTGTTGTGCTTGGCACGCCGTAAGAACTCAGTGATGCTGGCAGGCACAGGGTACAGTATAAGGGACTTCAACCCTGGGATGTAGAGGGCTAATCCCTTTGGGTGTATTAACCGATGGCTCAGGGCATTGCCTCTGGGCGCTGTAGCAAGAAACTCAGGACTGTAAGTAAGATCATTGCTTTGAGACCAAAGACTGAGTGTTCCTGGCTTGCTCTCCTCTAGCATAGCTTCCCAAATTTACTTGACCTACTGCCCTCTACTAATAACAAAAAATTAAGTTCCCCCATGTAAGTGAAAACTTTTTTTACTATTGTTCATAATCCAGGTAAAGTGTAGGTATCTGGTTTTTCCGCCCCCCACCCCCCACCCCGTTGTTCCAGTGTCCCGCAGGGAGTGGTGTCACCCACTTTGGGAAACACTGTCCTATAATTTTATAGCTAGATATGGAATGTAACAATCTGCAAGGGGTGACTGAACGTTAATATTTAAAACACCAAACTCACTGGTATCGAGTCAACTCTGACTCCAAGCAACCAACCCTCTAGGGCGGCATGGAACTGCCCCCTGGGTTCCCAAGACTTTCACTTTACCAGAGTGAAAAGCCTCATCTTTCTTCCACAGAGTGGCTGGTGGTTTTGAACTTCTGATCTTGCAGTTAGCAGTGCAACTGGTAACCACTACATCACTAGGGCTCCTTAATATTTAAAAGGAACTGTTTAATTTTGAGAGTGTGATTGACTTCTGAAATATAGGAAGTACTGCTAATTTATAAGATTAAATAATTTTTACTAACATTTTCCCCCCAGCACTTTTATTGGCATATAATTTATATAGCAATAACACAATTCAATAATTCAATCACATCAGTAAGCGCTATACAATGATCACCGCCGTTTCAGAACATTTTCTCTGTTCCTGTACTCATCATTGTTAGCTCCCCAAAGATTGCTTTTCTTCTCTCTGTAGTCAGAGCTGGAGAGAGCATCAGTCTGGAATGTGGGAGTCCGTTTCATTAGTATCTGAGAACTGCTTGTTCATAGTAACAACAAAACCCGAGTATTGCTTTTGCTGACATTAGCTCTTTCTCGTGGCAGCTTATGGTTGGAGTCAGAATTTTAAGGAGCTAGTACCTTCCTTAAAGATGGGCGTTAGAAGGTTTATGGAGTGTGTGATAAATGTGTTTGGGAATGCTTCTGCAGGGTGTTTTTTTTTACTCAAAGAACTACTTCTATTTGTCTTCTCTGACCCATCTCCCTCGTTCTCAAAGCTTCTCTGTATTTGGAAAATGAAGATGATAACAGAAGTGCAGCTGTACCTTCACTATTAAGTAAAAAAAAATAGATCTGGTTTAAAGAATCATATTTATTCTTCAGGGATGTACCTCTTCATCTTTTTTGGGATCATAGGCCACTGAAAAGCTGACAGAAGCTGTTGACTCACTCCTCAGAAAAGTCACTCGTCTCCCCAGCCCCAACAAGCCTGCTAATAATCTCAGAGACTCATAGGCCTTCACGACCTGCTGGTGGACACCAGGTGAAGAATCTTTGATTGAAAACAAGAACTGTCTTGTTACTTGTTTCTCTGCAATCAAGGGAATGCATGATTTTTGTTTCTTTTTCAAAATACATGAGACTGCTTCACAAACTGTTGGATTTGTATTCCATTGTATTTCTAATTTTGACACCCATAGATCAGGACCTTGCGAATGGCTTTCCTCACTTTTGCTTGTGAAATAGGGAATTTGAAAAGAGGTAAAAGTCCTTAGTTATTCATTTGTGTATTAGAAAAAACTTTGATTTTTATTGTGATCCATTAGGTGCCAAGCACGCATTAGGTGCCGAGATGTGGAGCTGAACATTACAGCCCATGCTGAGAACAGGCCATCGTCTGGAGGTGGACGTACTGTTTAGGGACCTGTCTCCAGTAGTACTTACCCCATTCTCTGTGCTAAGTATTTGACATATTAATTATTTATCTTTGGCGGTCGTTTCTTTTCCCTGCTCGAGTGTGAGCTCCTGGGAGGTAGGTATGATCTCTTGTCCACGAAGAAGAGTACTTGGCACGTGCTGGTTGTTAGGTCACCGCTGTG